CACGGGAGGCATGTGGAGACAACTATTGTGAGCTTTGACCTTTGGTTTCCTGGTCGTATTGAAAAAACAAGCACTCATCTCCTGTAATAACTCGTCCAAGCAGCGTGGAATTATTTTCTACTTGTTCCTAACAGTCTTCTGTGATGGTCATTCGATGCTGCTTTTTCCATTTTCGTGGCAAGCACCACGAACACACGTTTACTTAACACGACACAGCGGGCGAAATAAACAAGCCATAGCGATGGCAAATATATCAATTGTGAGGAGAAGTATGCCGAGAGAAGGGAAAGGTAATTTCAAGGTCGCAGAGTTACCACAATCGTGACAATTTAATCAGTCTTATTACTTTATTGTCACACCTCGTATGTTGTAAAATCTCGCTATAGTGTGAGTTTGGGCAAGATATCCGTCCACCGAGGTAAACTAGAGTCTCCTTTCTATCATTCATTTACGTGGTCGGGGTGCTATGTGTCACAAGGACCTACACACTTCGGTCCCTATCCCATCTATCTCGTTCCTTAGCTTATGTATATAAGTCAGCTGAGCCTTCCCAATAAAGAATAGGCAAATATTTCAAAATTTTTCCTTTGAAGTTTTTTGTTTATTATATTACATGCAACTCCAATGGCTACACCTACCTACCTAAGTACATACGTGTATGTACATTCTTATGTACGAGAATACAGCATTAAAGCCAACTATCCAGTATAAACATAATTAACTAAAATTTTAAACAGTTGTATATATGTATATGTATGTGGAAAGCTTTCTACAAAATTGCAAATACAAAATGTCATAATTAAACCGCAACCCTTACAACAATTAAACAATATGCTGTTACTCCATAAATATAGAGGCAAACAAATGTGTGCCTCATAAATTGAGATAGAAATATATGTGACCATTTCCGGCTACAAAAATATCTGTCATTATCATCGTGTGTTGTTGTGTTGACTGCCAGCAAAAACTATGCATATGGCGGTTTCGGGTCTGAAAAATTTTTAGTTGAGTATTTTGTGAGCACATTACATATCCGCATTTCAGTTATTTTCATAATTGCAAAACCACAAATTCACTACAGTTCAATTCTCATTCTATCCACGAGTCGCTTTATACCCAACTCCAGACATCAAATTCAAATGCGTCGATGCTGTTGGTCACTCAGTTTGGCGCAGACCCAATTTGTAAACAAGTCCATAGCATGACCACAAAAAGACTGGCTGGTAGTGGTAAAATATGTACACATATGTATGTACATGTATGTATGTAGTTGTAAGCACATAATGGTGTCGCCAGCGAATGCAAAATTTGTAATTGTGGTCATTCAATTGCTGGCTATCTCTAAGAGAGCCGAGTAAACTGTAGTAATAGCTGCCACACATTCACATACAAGTAAATACGATCAGAATGGAATTTATGAGGCTCAAATAAAAATTGTTTAAATGTTTTTCTATACAACGCACACAGATACCGGATGAACACTTTTATTAGGGTACTCAAACGTTCCATTTAAACTATTACGTAATTTTTAAATATTTTATCTACTCTGTTTTGAATATATGTAAGCTCATATACATACATAAAAAGAAACTGAGACAATAAAATTAAAATATGCAAATTAATAAAAAAAAAGATATTTTTATTAATTAAATTAATATTTTTATTTATTAAAATTACAAATAAAGTTAATTATGTTGAAATTAAAGAAAATATAATAAAACAAAATGAAAAAAGAAGACAAAGATTTGAAAAGAAAACAAATAAAATATTTAATATAATAGTATAAAAAATAAAATAAAATAATTTAATAAAAAAGTAAACAAAATAATGGAAAAAAAGTAATAAAAATTAAATTAGAAAAATAATAAACGAAAAAGGAATACAAGAAATAACAAAACAAAAAATATATAAAACTTATAAAATAAAACAAAATATAATAAAATAATCAGAGAATCATTTAAATATAATATACTATAAATAAACATTGCAAAATAAAACCAAAATAAAATAAAATTGCAAAATAAAACCAAAATAAAATAAAAGTTTAAAATAAAATAAAAAATAATGAAATGAGAAATTAACTGAAATTTATGTAAAAAAATTGAAATAAAAGAAGTCCAAAAAAACAATAAAAAATTGAACTAAAACGAAATAAAATAAAATCAAATAATTTAAAATGAAATAAAAATGGAATTTAAAAAAGCATGTATTATAACAAACTAAAAATTATTAGCTGTAATAAACTAAATTAAAATAAATTTAATCAAATTAAATTAAACAAAGTAAAAAAAAGCTAAATCATCAATAAAAAAAATTATAATAAATAAATAACCAATTAAAAATTTATTTGAACTAAATAATGTTAAGTTAAGTAAAATATCATACAATAAAATAAAATAAAAATCAATAAAATGGAATACAATATAAATAAATCAAAACAAATGAAAAAATTAAATAAAATTGCTTATATTGATAAAATTAAATAAAATAAAATGAAATTATGGTAAAAGAATTAAAATAAAATAAGCATAAAACAAATACTGTAAAAAAACCCATACAAAACGAAATAAAATAAAATAAAATGATTTTAAATGAAATAAAAAAGCAAATGAAGTGAAATTGCAAAAAAATGTTTTATGAAAAAGTAAAAAGTTTTAACTAAAATAAATTAAAAATTAAATTAAAAAATAAATTTAACTAAATTAAACAAAGTAAAAAGAAGATAAATCATCAAAAAAAATTATAAAAAATAAAAAAAATAAAAATGAACTAAATAACGTTGTGCTAAATAAAATATAATATAATAAAATAAAATGGAAATCAATAAAATAGAATGCAATATTCTTTTATTTTAATTTCTTTACTTAAATTTCAGTTAATTTCTCATTTTATTATTTTTTTTTTATACTTTTATGTTATTTTTATTTTTATTTGCATTGGTTTATTTATAGTATATTATATTTAATTGATTCTCAGATTATTTTACTATATTTTGTTTTATTTTATAAGTTTTATATTTTTTTGTTTTGTTATTTCTAAGCCAAGCAAAAATGAATAAAATAGATAATAAAAACTAAATATAGTAAAATTAAATTAAAGCAAAGAAATTAAAACAAAAAAAGAATAAAACAAATACTGTAAAAAAACCCATACAAAACGAAATAAAATAAAATAAAATGATTTTAAATGAAATAAAAAAGAAAGTAAAGTAAATTGAAAGAAAAATAAAAGTAAATAAAATATACTATAATAAACTTAATTAAAATAAATAAAATTAAACAAAGTAAAAAGAAAATAAAGCAACAATATAAAAATAAACAAAATAAAGATTTATTTAAACTAAATAAAGTTAAGTTAAACAAAATGTAATGCAATAAATAAGATGAAAGCAAATAAAAATAAATAAATTTAGAATTGAAAATAAAATTTAATAGAATAAATAAAAAAACTAAAATTGAAAAAAGAAAAAAAAGAAAGTTATAAAAAATATTATTAAAAAATAAAAATAACATAAATTAAATTGAATTAAAGTCAACAAAATTAAGTAGAGTAAAAAAACGGAAACAACATAAAACTAAATAAAGCAAAACGATTTAAACTTAATTCAAAAAATAAATTAAATAAATTTTTACTATAAAAAAGTATAATAAAATTAATTAAAATAAATTAAAGTTAAACAAAATAAAAATAATACAAAATCAAAATAAACATTTAATTAAACTAAATAAAGTTAACTCAAACAAAATAAAACAAAGATTTTAAATGAAATCAAATAAAGTAAAACTAAACTAAATTAAATCGAATTAAATTAAATATAATTAAAAGCAAAAAGATAATTTTTATTTCATTCTTTAAAACGCAAAAGGCCTAAGGCAAAGTAAAATAAAATAAATAATAAAAATAAAAAGAGAAATAACATCTAATTGGTTAAAATAATAAAAAATATTAACTTTAGTATTAAAGAAAATAAAAAAGATTTATTCTTAAAAACATAAAATAAAAAAAAAATTGAGTAAAATAACAGTGAACAAAATAAAATGCAATAAAGTTAAATTATTTAAGCGTTATTTCAAAAGTTAATTAAACAAATTTTTTTTACAAAAAAGTAAAGTAACAAAAAATTTAAACTACATAAACTAAATAAAAATAATTTTGTTTAAATTAAATGAAATAAAAATAAGTTGAAGCATAAATGAATGAAAAATTTAAAATAAAATAAACAAAAATGAACATTTAATTAAACTAAAAAAAATAAGTTAAACAATATAAAACAATATTAAACAATATAATCAATCAAGTTAAATAAAGTAAAACTAAACTAAATTAATTCGAATTAAATTAAATATAATTAAACACGACAAAATAATTTTTATTTAATTCTTTAAAACACAAAAAGCCTAAAGCGAAGTTAAATAAAGTAAAATAAACTAAAATAAAAAAAAAGTAAAATAAGTAAAATACAAAAAATATAAAAGTATAAACTATTAGAAAAGCAACATGACCAAGCATAATAAAATGAAGTATAATTACCTAAATTGAATAGAAATTAATGCAGATTAAATTAAATGAAATAAAAATAAAATAAATCAAAACCAAATAAAAGTGATAAAAAATTAAAATGAAATAAATATTAAATTAAAGAAATAAAATATAATAAAACCATATCAAACAAATTATATAAATGATATAAGAAAAATTGATTATATATATAAATATAATTATAATATATATAATTCGTAACCGTTGAAGTGCTTTTCGGCCGAGCTCTTCTTCCAATTTGTAGCTTGAAAATAGGAAAATGAAATTAAATTAAATCAAAATATTAGAAAACCAAAAAATACATAATAAAAGAAACAAGTTTAATTAAATAAAATTAATTTAAGTCGAATTACATAAAATTAAAGATAATCAAATTATTTGTATTTAATTCTTTAATATATAAAATCCTACTGATATGACAAATTTAAACCTTAGTTCGTAGAACAAAAAAATTTAAGTGCCACTACAGACGCCAAAAACCAACAAAGTGGTTAGAGACGCTCACCCTAATGCACGCTTTGATGTCAAGTCGCACGCACGTAATTTGTTGGATTTGTAGTGCCATTGGGCCTCAAGTGTCATACTCGAACGCCAATACAACAACTGTAGTTACAACACATAACAACAGCTCCAACAACAACAGCAGTCCACAAGCATGTTGATGAGCGGAAGTCAAAGAATGTTAACAACACTGGCTACAGCACTCAAAGCAACAACTTCCGGCGCGACAGCAAACGACAACGGCTCCAGTATTGCCAGTACAAATGATGTGGCGACCAAACAACCAATACCAGTAACAACAACAACAAACCCAACAGAAACAATTGAAGCAAGAATGGTATCAATGGAGGTAACAGGCGGCGGAATCGGTACAGTGCCAACCAGCAGAGAGCTGCTATGTGCTGTTATAGGTGGCGGTGGTGGTGGTGGTGTTGTCGCCAACGAAGTGGCCTGCGGTGAAATAAGCGGAAATCCGAAAACACCAACCGCATCGGCAGGCGTAACAGCAGAGACGTCATTTTATACAAATGTCATAGGAAATTGCAATGGCCGCAAAAATAATGGCAATCCCAGCAATGATAACAAATGCTACAACAACAACAACAACAATAATAATAATAACAACAATAGCAATGTCAATACAAAAACGGTGAATAATGCGGTTCTGAGGCAACAGCAACAACAACAACAGCTACTGCTCCATCAAGAACTACAGCAGCAGCAGCAACAACAACAAAACCATCAGCAAATCGAACTAAATGTACCAGTAACCGGGCCCGGACCAGGACGACCACCATCTGCATGCTCCCCAAACCGCCTACTACACCCGCCAATGTATTGCGGCGATAGACTGCCGGCTTTGTGCGATTTCAATATGAATGTTGCTGGCAACAATGTTGGCTATGGTGATGATGGTGGCAGTAGTGGGGGCGGTGTTAATGCCTGCTCCATAACTGCCATATTTAATACAAATAATAACAACAACAACAACAACAACAACAACAACAATTATGTTGACCACAACGGTAACAGTAACCTGACTAATTGCTTGAATGGCAACAATGCTCATGCAAACAAAAACAACAACACCAACAGCATACTGCTCGCACTGCAACAAAAGCAACTGCTTCAACAACATCAACAACAATTGCAATTGAATTTCGCTACGCACATGCAAGCACAATTCGCCAATGACGACAACTCGCCATGCCATACACCACCCCCCATGACAGCGATGCGTAACATTGTTAACAACAACAGCAAATGTGATTCGCTACCCGCCGCAGCAGCCACACTCGGACTGCCAGTTGCATTGTCGTTGCCATTGTCATTGCATTTGCCATTGTCAGCGACGGCGACGCCGTCGTCGTCATCGTCCGCAACAGCATCAAACTGTCGCACCGTCACGGCGTCAGATGCCGCAGCAATGCAGTGTGCCTATTGTTGTCAGCCAATTTGTGATCGTTATATAATGCGTGTCGTGGACACTTCATTTCACGAGGGTTGCCTCAAGTGCGCCACTTGTGCTCTACACTTGGTCCATTCGTGTTATGCGCGCGATGGTAAACTCTATTGTCGCATCGACTATGAAAGGTAAATATTTACTTATACATACACGTATGTGATTCTGAGTATTTTATTCATGTACATGTACTTCTACTTAAATATACAAAATTATCCAAAGGTGACGAGCGAATTTAAAGTTTCCCGTTTACATAAGAATTTAAAACTGATTATTTATATCTTTCAATATTATCTGATGCCAATGGGCACTGGACCATCAATGGTCCGTAAAACTTTTTACTCGAACACTTTTTACACGTCCACACTTTTGTACCATTCGGTAGTAAGGAAATAATAAGCGACTTGTAAATTGTTTTCCTTTCTTTGCCGAGAGAGGACTTTGCTCACTCAGGCGAAAGTAGCACTTGTTCTCAAGAGTAATTCTCTTGGAATTCTAAAGTGACTTTGCTCGTTTTGATACTGTTTCCAAAAGTTAGATGAAATAGTCTACAACTTCGAAAGCTCAGACTGTTCCTCTGCTGACAAGAGATATTTCGTCTTGTCCTTGTTTACTACCAGACAAGTTCGCATCGTTTCCTTACCGTTTCCTCGTGCTGTTGTGTGTTGCTATAAAGTAAACGAAGAGGTAGTGTATGGCGAGAATACAGGCAGGCTGAACATTCGATCAACAGAGCAAAAGTTGATCTACCAGCGCTAGCCCCACCCTGATAAAATACGATTCTTGTCGTTGGACTATTTTTTTAGAAACAGTACCCATCCCGGATGCCATCTTATAGATTGGGTAGACCATTGTCAATCAGTTTTTATCGGGGAAGGGCTTCCAATCCCACAGCATTACCCAAACACCACCTTGTTGTTACAACAGCAACATCTTCAGTTCTGGGTCATCATATAAATTAGGCCATAAATCTAGCGCCAATAGATCCTCATTCGCATTACACTATTACGTCTGTATCAAATATAACGGTTAAGCGTTCGAGTACGTCATCTCCGGTGTAACCAGGCTTGAAAAATGTTTCTCCCTACATAAACTCAATATGCTTTGGACAGCGTTAGAGCCCCGAAAAATTCACACATCGGAAAAACAATTGGTCTTTCTTATATCAAGAATTGATCAAATTAGTTGCGAGTTTTTTGATCTGCTGAGAGTTATATTGCGTACCCTGGCGATGTCGCCTAGCCATTCGGAGGGGTATCGTCGTGTAAAAATTAAGGTCGACATTACCTCCATTCAAGAAGTGCTTTGGACGAGACAAAGGCAAACTAGGTCCTTATAAAATTTCCCTCTGTCTAACTACAATCATCATCAAAGAGAAGTTTATCAACGTAACGCAGACTGGTGGAAGGTTATTCGAACATTCCGAGCTGTTCGAATCGCTACCGATGATCATTTATTCAAATACTCAAAACCGTTTTGAAAAAGAGCACATTCGTAATAGACGAAGCCATGGAATTTCTTGAGTTCTTTTGATCCATTAAGATCACCAAGAACCTTCAACTGTGACGAAGAAAACCCCAGGATTCATCACTGACGGAGCTATATACAAACTGAAATCCAGAACTTTCCTGGACCTTTAAATTAATATTATTATAAATTTATATAAATATAAATTTTAAAGGACTTAAAAGTACAAAGGAAGACAAAGATCCTAAAGATCTGATTCAATAAGCCAAAAGAACAGCAATGTTCTTCAAGCTAGAGACGCACCAAGAAGTTTATCAGTATATAATGGTCGTATGTAATGCATCTGGTAGCACTTAGGAGGAAGTACAGTCTATGTTAGACTCCCTAAGGCGATGACCAGCGCATGAATCTGCATGAAATAACTAATAAACTTAGCTTAAAAGAATCTATTTAATATCAATTTTATAATTATATATTATATTATAATGTCTAAATCGAAAGTATCCACTTCTAATAGATTATTTCTGCGCAATCGATGCCTCGGCTGTGGTCACCGAATCGCCTGCGACGAGTTGGTTATGAGAACATATGATAATGTGTTCCATTTAAAGTGCTTTGCATGCGTTGTCTGCGGAGGAATGCTGAAGAAGGGTGAACAGTATGTGGTGAAGCAAGGACAACTTTTTTGCCGTCTGGATTATGAGAAGGAAGTTGAGATGTTACAAGGCTACGGTAGGTTCATATATACAGATGCGCACATATCTTATCGCATCCTGCTAATAAACTCCTCTTTAAGCGTAGATTTCTATGGCGACGACTTATTTGCACCGAAAATGGATGGACGACGTGGACCTAAACGACCGAGGACCATACTAAATACCCAACAGCGGCGCGCTTTTAAAGCCTCATTTGAGCTATCACCGAAACCCTGTCGCAAAGTGAGAGAGAATTTGGCAAAAGATACTGGTTTGAGCTTAAGAATTGTACAGGTGTGTTTATTTCTAGCTAAATCTAATTTAATTAAATTGTTTATTGCAATCAAATAATACATTTACCTTAAATCTTTTTCCTGTCATTAGGTTTGGTTTCAAAATCAGCGCGCTAAAGTGAAAAAAATCCAAAAGAAAGCAAAACAGGAGCATACGAAAGGTGCAAGCGACTCGCAAGATTCTCAAGAATCGGACAGCAGCAATTTGGCGAAGATTAAAGACGAGGCGCACAGCGATAGTGAATCTCTGCTGGATTCGCCGTTCTCAGCGTGTGCCGGTAGCGTTGGCAGCGGCAGTGGTGTGGGCGGCGGTGTTATGTCCTCCTGCTCGGATGGCGCTGTAAAAATGCGCGCTATCAAAGATGAAAACGAGAATACGTCATTTAATTGCATGGAAACCAATAAAGGTGCGTTGCTAACAATCATCAAAGCAGGCAAAGAGAGTCTTGCACTCGCGCCTCTGCGCTGACATTCGACTACAGTAGTCTGTAGTATGCACTTGAGGCGCTCAAGATTAAATGCAAAAGATGCAAAAGCCGCGAAGCATAAGATAAATTAAACAAAAAAAAAAGTATAGATATAAAAAGGGAGCAGAATTAAACCAACAATTTTGTCTCATTATTTATTATTTAAAGCCACTTAATTTGAAGAAAGAAATATCAGCTGAAGAGTAGACTTGAGAAACTGAAAATACGCTTAGCTTAAGGAGATTAATTACGTATATAATTCATTTCAGTTACGCACAAACTTATTTTAAATTAAAAAACAAAATAATAAAAAAAATGGACACCGTTAGCAGGATAAAACATTTATGATAGGGCTTTTTTTATAAACATATCCTTGACGCCTTAAGCTCTGAATTCTAAATTTTTGAATAACCTTCTACTTTCAGAAAACTGCAATAAAACGAATGAGCCTTTTCTGAGCACTGTCCTTGGTTTAAGTTATTCCACTTTTCAGCAGCTGATGGGACCACTTACACAATCGCCCATGGTCAATCCCATAGACCGGCTTTACAGCATGCAGAACTCTTATTTTCGACCAGACGAACTCAGCTATGAGGGCTGTTCGAAGGACTTGGTTGAGCCGTAAACGCATTATAAATTAAAAATAAAATATAATAAAAAGGCAAAATAAATAAGAAATGAAATAGAATTGAAAAATAATATAAAATAAAAAATTAGATAAATATAAAAAAAATTTAAAGGAAATAAAAATGTAATAAATTAAACTCGTATAAATTTAAAAAATTAAATTAAATAAAATTGCAAGTAATTGAAATAAAAAAATTAAAATTTAACACAAAATAAAAAAAATTATCAAATTAATTAAAAAAAAATAACTTAAATTAAATAAAACATTATCAAAAAAAAATATTAAAAAATAAAAATAAATAAATATTAAATAAAAAACCAAATAAATATCAAAATAAAATGGAAAACAATTAAAAAAATTAAATAAATAAAATGATATAAATATAAAGAGAAGAAAGTTTAAAAACAACATTAAACCAATTAAAAAAATTAATTAAAAGTTAAATAAGAAAATATAAAATTAAATTAATATAGTAATGCAAAATAAAGAAAAAATCTAAAATAAAGGTACTTAAATTCAATTAAATAAAATAGAATAAATGAACTAAGAGTATTTAATTGACCTAAGTCAAGTCAAAATAAATCAAGATAAAACCGGAAATGAAAAACGTAAATCAATTAAATGAAACAAATAAAACATTAAAAATAAATAAAAGACAATAATTAATTTCAGAGAATTACATTTATAATAAATAAAAAAATAATTAATTAAAAAAAAATCCCATAAAATTAAAAATTTCATTGACTAAAATTGTGTTAAAGTAAACTCACTTACATAAATAAAGGAATTTAGGAAAATAAAATAATAAAATAAAATAAAAAATAAAACTAAACAAAATAAATAATCAATTCCAAACTAAATTAAATGACAAATAAATAATATTTATGAAAACTAAACTAAATAAAAAAATAAATTAAAAAAAATATTTAAATAAATACATCAATATAAAAATAAATTAAAATCGAATTAAATAAATCCATATATATAATTTTAAATTCAATAAAACAATAAAATAAAATAATACAAATTAAAAATCGAAAATGAGAAAATATACAAAAATCAACAAAACAAACGATAAGAGATGTGAAAAATAAAAATAAAAGTGAAATAAATAAATATAAATTAAAAAAAAAAAAACAAATAAAAAATATAAGAGAAATGAAATAAAATGAAATGTATTTTAAATACATTAAAATAAAAAAAGTAAAAATTAAAGCCCAATAAGAAAAAAATATAATATATTAATAAATAAAATAAGTTTGAGCTACACAAAATAAAATAAAAATTGTAACGAAATAAAATTTAATTCAAAAAAATAAAGTGTAATAAATTGAATTATAATGACAAAAATCAAAAACAAATTTATATAAAATGTATAAATGAAATTAATTAAATTCAAATAAAATGAAATTGAGTAAATCACCAAATAAAATTAAATTTAACGAAGCAATTAAAATAATATAATTATATGAAATAACTTAAAAAAAGTTTAAACAAAGTTAAAACGAATTAATATAAAAAATATTTTTAACAAAATAAAGTAAAGTAAAATAAAATTTAATATATTAATTATTTTATAATAAGAAAATAAAACAAAATAAATAAAAATAAAATTAATAGAATAAAATAAAATAAATAATATAAAATTAATGAAATAAAATAAACTAAAATCAAGTAAATAGTATAAAATAAAATAAATAGAATAAAATAAAATTAATGAAATAAACTAACCAGAGTTAAATAAAACAAAACTCAAGATGAAAGTAAATTACAGTTTAATAAGGTGATGTGAAGTAATAAAATTAACGCCACTATTGAAGAAGAAAATAAAGTAAAATAAAAAATAATAATTAATTTAAAATATACTAAAATAAGTTAAAATAAATCAATTAAAAATATATAAAGTGAAAAGAATTTAAACTAAATGAACCAAACTAAGTTAAATAAACAGACTAAAATTGAAATTAAGATAAAATAAAATAATAATGTAATTAAATTTAAATATATTGTAAATAAAATAAAAATAGGTGGAAAAAGGTAAAAATAATAAAAACGAGAAAAATATATCAAAATAAATAAATTAAGAAAAAAAACAAATTAAAATAAAGAAATTAAAATAAAATAAATTAAATTAATTAAACTAAGTTAAATAAATCAAAATATTAGTTATGTTTATCAAATAATGTAAAAATAAAATAAATCAATTTGAGATAATATAAAGCAAAAAAATTTAATAAAACAAAATAAAATAAATGAAACTAAAATAAAATTGAATTTAAAAACCAAAGGCAACATTTTTGTGCTCAGCAAAATATTAGCATTTTATTTTATATATAAGCACAAGAGTGAATTAGCAAAATCAAAAACAATTAGCACATAACAGTATAAGTAAATATAAATCGATTAGCAACTATGAATAGCGTAAAATGCATAAGTGTAAAAACTAGATTCGTTGAAAATAAATTTTATTTACTTATGGATTCAGTTTATGTGATGTTTTGTAATTGTTTTCAGCTTAAGCGACACACTTAAATACTTGCATACACATGGACATACTTAAAAGCAGCAAATATCCATTCAAACATACATAATAGAGCGTATGTTTACTTGGTTGTGCATGCAAATTCCAATTGGTACAACTCCACACAGATAATCACGCATGTCATCCATTCCGTTCCATATCGTTTGAGCCATTGATACCCACTGTCTATACAAGTATTTAGACGGAGTAACGGTGCAGGTGCAGATAAAGAATGTGTTCCACACAGTTGACAAAGGTGCACTAACAACCACTCCCATTCAAAACAATTTCCAACCTTCTTTACTACACTCCTCGCAACCTCATCCCTCACCCCTTCACTCTTCGACTATGCACCATACAAACGGGCAACTCGTACTCGCACAGTTAGATCAGTATGAATGTTTGAATGAATGTACGCGCTGACGCGAGCATGAAATTAGTCACATTTGACAATATTGAGAATGTGTTTCTTCCTTCGACTACACCATACTGTACTGTGCTATGACTGGCTGTCTAAGGCAACAAACTGGATAGTTAGACGGTTGGATAGATGGATGGATGGATAGATGGATGGACGGATGGATGGTTGGTTCGTTGCTTGGTTGGATGACTACATACATACATAGATGCTTGCAAAGTTCAATGGGTGGCTGTTTAGATGGTATGTTCGTCGACGGTTGACTACTTGGTTGTTTGGTAGTTTGGGTGTCAGTATTTGAAGGCAAAAACACATAGAATGAATGAAATAGCTGAAATGTATGAGATGGTTGAAATTGATTAAATGCGCAGAAAATCAAAATTTGTCATGCATTGTTCGCAGGCGACAACAACTGTTGTATGAATTACAATGCTTGGATATTCTGTGACGAATAGCAATAATAGCAACAACATCAATGACTACGACAACATAAAAATTCCTCATTTCATGAATTGTAACAATGGTAACACTTGTGTTTGAACTACAAAATTTTTTTAATATGTATGTATGTACATACGTACATGCGAACACCTCTATGTGATTGCATGCGTGTGTATTATGCCCAACAAGGTGGGCGAGCAGGACATACGTCAAGCATACTTAACGACACTGTTTTGAAAAATAGAGAGATCCAAAGAAAAAAAAATTGCTTAAAACTACTCTCCTTTCCAGACGCTGCAATAATGCCTCCCCGAAATGGACGTTAAAGACTCATAGATATGGTAAGGGACTTATGAACAGTGTATGAGATTTTGCAACCAGAATATTAGAGGTATTTACTTGGCACATCCGACTTCATCACAGCGAAGTCATATCTTCGTCCTGATTGTTAATCTCGTGTCCTACTTGTGATAAACGCTGAGATGGAGCCAGAAGATGCAATGCGCCATACCGATTAAGAATCTATGTTGCGATATGAACTATCGCCCGACCTATCATCCACCCAAACCATGGACTACCAAACATTAGATTCTGTAGAAGATAGAACTTTGAATAAAATAATGTGCCCTAGAATAAGGCTGTTTATAATTAGCAGCTCATGAGGATTTTAGTTCCGCTACTTACAGACAAGACTTACAACAAAGATTGCGGTTGGTAGCAGTGCAGAATGCTCCAGGCGTCCTGTCTACTAAGTAGAGCCATCAAGCTGAAGACAAGTGCTAATACAAGCGAAGATTTTCCGTCACTGAACAAATAAGCCACAGATGTGTTTAAGTGGAGCCGGACTCTTTAAGAATGTAGATTTTTTCATTGAGACGTTGGAGCAGCAATTGGAGCTTTCGATGCTAAAAAAAATTGTCCTCTGAGTCATATCATGGAGCTGTTTTGGTTTGTAATTATCTCCTCTCTATAAGACCTCCGTTTAAACTTCCAAACAAAGCTTTGATAAGCGTTGAATTGGTCACGCAACTTAAAAAACGACTTCAACAAAAGACAACACTCTCAAATGAGGACTGCCAATTTGGGTGACTTTACATGCTGGTGGAGGCACAGTAAGATAAAGACATCTGATCCATTGCAAATAAATATGGAGAAGGGTTGATGTCTCCACTGAAATGTAAACAGATGAAACGCCTAGCCTACTACTATTGATTAGGCTATAATGGCGTATGCGAGGCCTTTGCCAATTAAGAAAAATTAAAATATTTGCAGGTTAATACACGGATGAGAAGGATTATGCAGTTGCCATGCGAACGTCGTGAAGCTAGTAAGGCGTGCACATTTTGCTGGCCCAAAGAAAAATATTTCGCAAGCTCGAGGGCTCTTCGTAGTTCATTATCTGATCGGTGGCGCGCACAATAGCCGAGTGGTTAACCTTGCATACTGCCATCCTGACGTCTAGGATTCTCGTCCAGATACGACCAACTTCCAAAATTATAGAAAATTAATTTTTCCTAATTTCGGTGTATCCTCAGGAGGTCATGTTAAGCACTCCGAGTGCAGTTCCGACATGAAATAAAAGCTCCTCATAATAATTCATGGGCCATTCGGTGACGGCTTAGAATAAAACGTGAGTCCTTCCTCTTTTTGGAAAACATCTAGACG